AATCGAGGCACTGTATCAACTCCAGCACTGAGATCCCGGCTCACTGAAAGCAGGTTTCTGGGGTTTTGTTTAGCTTCTATATTTGTTACAATGTTTCTTAAACTGCAAGCTCAGAGCCCAGCAAGGCAGGACAGGAACGTTGGTTTCCTTCGTCACTGAAGCAAGCAAGCCTCATGTTGGTTTCAAGCTGCCTGGCTGCCGGCCGCCATCTTGGCTGGCAGTTAATTTGCATATCGCCCTGATTAGCCAATGGGAAGGGTAGTGGTCATACACCAATTACCATGTTTCTCTTTAATTAGATAGGATGTAAGTTTTGCTTTCTATTCCAAGATAAGTTGAGTTTCTTTTAATGTCTGGCTAAAATTTCTTCTGAGAAAAATATTTAAGAAAAGTATATACTCTAGAAAGATACAACCTTCTATGTTGTCCACTTGGCACAGGGTGGCACCTCCTAGTTACACACTCCTACAGTTTGAGGGGCAGAGCTGCAGTGGCCCTTGAGCCAAAGATGTGGAGGACTGGAGCCCAGGCCAGCCAGCAAGTGGTTCTCACTGATGAGAGCTGGGTGGGGCTGAGGCAGCTCATCATCCCACTTACTGACCCTTCCTAACAGGTTCACAACCTCAGTCCATCATTTCTCACGTGGGAGGGCTGGCCTCTTACTGCACGTGTCGAATATGGGAAATGCAAGCGTGGAAATAAAAATCCGGGCTATGGTCATCAATACAATAGGCCAAAAGAGAGCTATAAAACAATATGCTATAATACTGTGATTAGAGCTTCATGCATTGAGCTCTCTCCTGCCCTCCCTCCAAAATAATGAAACAGTTTAACATACAAAGTAGTGACTTTATCCTTCATCATGTGGTGTTCAATGAGTGGGTAATTATGGCAACAGCACACATTCATGGATGTCGAGTTCAGTATTAAGAGAAAGCGACGGGGGAAGGCACCGGAAGGATCATGGAGTCACAGCATTGCAGAGTTGGGGGACCCTGGCGATTGTGCTCTCCACACCCCCATGTACAAAAGAGAACACTGAGACTCAGAGGGGGTCAACGACCTGCAAGTGTCAGACGTTTAGACAGAGGTGGAGTCAGAAATAAAGCCCAGGTTCCCCGCTCCTAGTTAATGCTCTTTTCAACTCACATGCCGGCTCTGGGAAACTGCATGAGGCAGAACATTCTAGAAAGTTTTCCGCATGGCAAGTAGACTTAGTTAACAAAACCTGCTGCGATGGAGAACACTGCTCTTGTGACTTACACGATTGCTTGTCCATTCATTGCCTGTGGACTCGGAAAGTCATGGCCGTTGAATATCAACAGTAATCAGCAATGAACTTCTGAAAGTTTTTCTTGTTTTATCCATTTTGTTCCTTTGCTGTAGCAGAGAGAAAAAATTAGCAAGTGCATAAATTAGGATTTTAACTTGCTGTTGATAAGGCTAATGGTTTATTTTTAGTTATATTTTTTTTCCTATGGTTGCGTTGTGGGCATCAGGTAAATGAATGCTCTTACACGAAGGTGGACATTCCTCAGGCCTGCACTACAGGCAGGAGCCTCAGCAGAGTCAACACTTTTTGTAAAGAAGGCACAGCAGCTTCCTAAGGAAATAAGCTGAATTCTCGTGAAACAGGCAGGAGACGGGCTGCAGCCGCGGGCGTGTAACTCCCACTCAGCATGACACAAACCTGCCCTGTTTCCCCCCAGGGGGCTGAACAGAAACACAGTCCCAGCCAGTCATGCACATGCCCTCCCTCTGAGCCTCTTCCTGCAGAAAAGGAGAGGCTGGGCCACTGGAGGGAGAGGGTGAGCTCTTCTCCTCCAGGAATCCCCGACTGTCATCTGTTCCTCACCCCAGGCAAGCAGCCCTCGCGGCCGGGGCTGGGGGTCCTGGCCAGTAACTACCCAACTGAAAGGCACCCTGCCACCAGCAGGGACCAAGCCCAACCTGAGTGAGGTGCACGGGAACCCCTGCTCTGTGATGACGGAAACACGGGCCTCTCTGGGATGAAGTGTCTTCCCGGGTCAGAGGGGACCCCGGGGGGAAGCTGCAATGCAGTTGGAAGCGCTCTCCTTCCACGGGAGTGAGACTCAGACCATGGCCTGTGCACAGAGATGCAGACGCCACTCAAAGCACGTTTCTCATTAAAGGTATATCCTTTATGTTCTCTCTTGTTCTGGGACCAGCCCGCCATCAGCTGGGGTGCAAATGTCTTGCTTAACAGAGTCAAAGTTAGGTTTTAAGATGGGAATAGAATGCTGAGACGGCAGCTGAGACAGGGACAGAGAGACGGGAAGACCCATTTGGTGGGCGGCTCTGCCTTCTTGTTGGGGCCATGGGAGGAAGGGCCCTTGGTCAGGCAGCCTGCCGAGGGAGGCGCTGTCAGGGCCCCACCCTGCCGCACCATGCGCTGTGCATCACAAAGTGCTTTCTCAGCCACAGTTGTATTGGAACATCCCGCAGGTCAACTGCCCCTTAGCGGGGCAGGCCCTGTCATCCTCGGTGACTCCTGAGGAGACTGCAGCTCAGGGCGGCAGAGAACAGAGGAGACCAGACTGCGTGTGCTTCATGTGCTGAAGGCCTTGGGTTTCCAATGCAGACTGTGTCCACCTACCGCTCCCCTGACGCCAAAAAGGGAGACCTCGGCGGGTCCCTGGAGCTGGAAGCAGGTCTGAAGCAGAGCCGAGTGTGTGTGGCCAACAACTAACACGAAAGTCAAAGGATGTGCTCATCAGTCTTCCTACGATTTCAAACATCCTTTCGACTTTTGATAATTTCCGTCTCAGTTCTCTCTCTCTCTCTCTCTCTCTCTATATATATATATATATTTATACATATATATATTTATTTATTTAAGTGGATACAAAGAAAGATAATTGGAAAAAATACATTATTTCTGTGGCTTCCTGCATGTAGTAGGCAGTCCCTAAATGCCTGTAAAATGTATGAATAAATTGATTATGAATAAACGCATCTCTTTTCCTCTTGTGAGTCGGCTCAAAGGTCAGTTTTGCAGGCACCAATTAAAAAATGCATCCCCCAGAGGTCGCAAGTGTCCAATGGTGCTTTGCTACAAGGCCCCCTGTCCGTACATTTTAGATGCCTGCCCCTGATGCAAGGGTGTCCCCCACAAACCCCACCAGAGACTCGGGGTGTGCCAGTACAGCCACAGCCCACACCAGCTTTGCAAGCATTCAACTTGAACTTGACTAGGAGGCTCCCACACTTACACCAGGATCCACAGCCCAGGCAGTGAGCACCCCTTCCTTCGGGTGTTGTGTTCATTTTGTGCCCGTTGCTGGGGACTGGCCTATTCTGATTCCATTTGCACCCACTTGAGGATTCTTCAAAAGAATCAACAGTAAACAAGATCCTCAGGTTGACCTCTGAGGTATGGCACCCTCTGCTGGGAGCTCCGTTACCGAGAAGTGCTCCAGCAAAGAGAGACGGGGCGCCTCAGGACACCCGGGTTGGAGTCTTGGCTCTGTGGTCTCAACAGGGGATGCTCCTCCACCCCCCTTATCGATGAAAATGGCAATGACAATACTCATTCAACAGAATCATGTGCACAAAAATGTTTGTGAAAGCATTTTGTGAACAACAGGAGATGAGTTGGCCTATCGGAAAGGGCCAGAGAACTACTAGCTCACTGTGTGCCACTGGCCTGGAAAATAGCTCATGCTGATTCTCAACAGCCAGTAACAGCAGATTCCTTTATGCAACTACTCTGATCATGAAGCTAGAGTGGCCCCAAAGTTAGTCCTTTGTGTGCGTGCCGCCTTCGCAATTTTTGCCATACAGTTGAATCTCAACTGTTATAATTTATCATATATTTTCCCGTACTTCAAATTTAAGTAAACTTTATTCCTGTACATTTTCATCTTGTTTTCATTGATATCACAGATTTGCTTCTATGCTGCATCCCCTATGTGGGGAAACTTTGTATTAAGCCAAAGGTACTAATCTATGTAGGACCAAAGAGAGCCTGCCAAAACGTGTATGGGCTGGCACAAGGAATGACTTGGATGTCCCCAAAGCTGAGCAAGAGTGCAGTCCTAACATATTTAAAAGCAACATCCAACTATAACCTGTTATCTAACCACATGTAAGATTTACATTCCTGTTACACTTTACAGTTTTAACACATTCATGGTCATTATACAACCTGTCCTGACCACAAGCCTGGCAGCCGGTGGGGTGGCCGATACACAATGGTAAAGGATTTGTACAAAATCACATTAGAAATAAGGGGCCTGTGCCTTTAGCTCATTTCACTGTACATCCTCAGGGGTATTTGCTTTTCCCTCTTTAGACGTAACAATTCTCTCAATCCACCTTTTTATCCATCTGCTCTTTTACCCACTCATTCATCCAACTACCCATTATCCACTGATTCATCCATCCACCTAACCATCTATCCACTAACCAGGGGTGGGCAAACTTTTTGACTCGAGGGCCACAATGGGTTCTTAAACTGGACCGGAGGGCCGGAACAAAAGCATGGATGGAGTGCTTGTGTGAACTAATACATGTTAACACTGCTGCTGGTGAAGGAGCGGAGGGGAGAGCAAGAGAACCCTCCGCTCTTTCGGCTCCACGGGCCAGATAGAACAGCCAAACGGGCCGGATCTGGCCCGCGGGCCATAGTTTGCCCACAGCTGCACTAATCCATCCACCCAACCATCTACGTATACACCTCTTTTCTTTTATCTGCCCTTCCAGACGTGTGTCCACACCCCTCCATTCATTTACTCATCCACCCATTGATCCATCCATCTATCCATCCGTCCGTCCATCCACTCAACTTTTGAGAGCCTTCTTTGTGCTTGTCACTCACTTATAAAGCATTGAAACCACCTACCAGGTTTTATTCATAGAAAATGAAGTTTTCATTTTGAACAGGAATGGCAATATCTGCGTCGGTTACTTCTCATTTGAAAAATCTACCATAGATTTTCCTTGATGATAGGAAAATAGAAATGCTCTAGTTCCTCCTGGAAACTGAAATAAAATGCCTGGGAGCCTGACAACAGAGGAACCAGGAAAAGACCTGGTTAATAGGAATCCTCTCCTTCCTAAGTACATTAGAAGTACAATAATGCTGGTTATGTTGCTGGATCAGTTCAAAGGGGACACTTCCAATTACTTCCCATAAATACCAAAGTCACATCATTAGAAATGTATCCCTGATGGAGTCTTGGAACTTTTGGCAAGAGCCCATGTAAGCATCCAGGTGTTTCTCGGGCTCCCGTTCAGATACCCTTGTCTTCAGGATTGTACTCTGTCTGGGAATTTTAATTCCTCAATTTCCGGGTTGAGGGCAGTGAACCAAGCATCAATGATGCAGGTGGCCTAACATACTGAGACCTTGAAAAGGGATGTGTTTCCCAGTAAAGAAAAACAAAACGTTAAAAATTATACAGAACAGAATGAAACAAAATATGAATTTACTGTTCCAGCAACTACTATAAGAGAAAAACTCAAACATGCAGAAAAATTTTGAAAATTCTAAGTAAAAAATAAAACAAATCTTAAACACTCCTATTAAAAACGTTTAGAATTTGCCCAAACAGGAAATAACCCAATGAAATGACTGTCACCAAGTCTCCCAGTCACTCAAGGCTTCCTCATCAATCCGCACCTAGGTCGGTGGCTCTCCCACGTCAGTGTGCATCAGTGTCACCTGGACCGCTGGTTAAAACCACTGCTGGCTCCCGCTCTCAGGCCTTCAAAGGCAGGTTCTGTAGGCCTGGGGTGCAGCCCAGCGATTTGTATTCCTCCGTCCAGGGTACCGCTGCTGCTGCTGGTCGGGCACCCACTTTGAGAAGCATAATAGTAGACCATCTCCTGTCCTCATCTTACGTAACTTCTCAGATGCAGTGACTTTGGGGACCACTCCCTAGGCTTCTGAAGGCCACTCTTCTCTTGCTTTCCCTGCCAGCTCTGCTCTTCTCCATCTATAGTCACCCTAACGTTCCTCAGGGTTTGATTCCAGGCTCTGTTCCTTCACGGCGATTTCTGAGCAGCCTCATTCCCGCTGAAGCCTCTAGTCACCACATACATCTGGGAGCCCCCAGGCTGCAAAGCCAGCCTGACAAAGTGTGACTCCCGAGGACGGGTCCGTCGTTCACAACTGCACCGCAAGTGACAAGTGTGTGCCTGGCATATGGAATGTGCCTAATAAGTATTCGTTACAACTTTCTCGTAGATGTTTCTATCTAAATGTTCCACAAGCTAGCTTCCAATTGAAGCAAAATGTGTTCAGAAAGAAATATATCGAAGTATATGACATAAACTAGATTCTTCGCCCACATTTTCAATGGTACTGTTATCATCGAAATTAGCT